ACGGTCAAAATACGAAAAACTCTTTGAAATCAAGAATAATTTTAGCCAAAAATCCCTTGAGATTAAAGATTTTTTGAAATTTTAGCGAAAAATTCCTTTGCTTTGTTTCCAAGTACGATATTTGAGCTTTCGAAAAGCTTAAAAATTCGAATTCCCTTTTAGAAATCGTATTTTAAATGTTTTCTATGATTTTATAGAGTCTGAGCAAAAGAATTGAGGAAAATTGAGCTTTGACTTTTTGGCTTTTACTTGTTCTTGTTCTTGTTCTTGTTCTTGTTCCTGTTCTTCTTCTTGTTCTTGTCCTTGTCCTTGTCCTTCCTTGTCCTTGTCCTTCCTTGTCCTTGTCCTTCCTTGTCCTTCCTTGTCCTTCCTTGTCCTTGTCCTTGTCCTTCCTTGTCCTTCCTTGTCCTTGTCCTTGTTCTTGTTCTTGTTCTTGCTGTTGTTGATGACTCACCGCTTGTACAATAAATCAATATTTACTCAAAAATGTATAATACAAATGAAATGGTTTCAAAAAAAAGCATAAAATCAATGATCAGCTTTTTTGATCATAATCTTTTCATCGTTTGGGGTTGAATGTCCATATTTGTCGAGTCCCGGGGTGAAATGGTGTTTGTTTGAAGTCTAGGAATTTAAACCAAACTTTATTAAAGATTTTGTATTGTTTTTAAATAATCGGCTTTTAAAAAACGCTTTTCCCAAAGGAAACCTATAGTTTTTTTTTGATTAAGAGATAATTCTAGGAGCTAAATGATTTCTAAGATCAATCTCGAAGATCTAAGATCACTTTATAGGTTTGATTTTTCAAAAAAACTGCTTGATTTTAAAATATTTGCTTTATAAAATCTAGAAAGAGGAAGTAAATTAGGAAATTTTATTAAATTTCTGTTTCTTTTTTTGATTGATTTTCTTTGAATTTGAATTCAACTCACATTCTTGTCTTTTAATGAATTTTCATTTGTATTTGTGTTTTCCGGTTGATCAACTGGATTATACTTCTCAAAATCTGGCCTTTCTTCTTCCTGAAAAAGGATTAGAATAAAGAAACGAAGGAATTGAGAAGAGGAAGTTGGAGAGTGGATTGAACTCTCGATCTTTTCCTTTCCAGACAATTACTCTAACCACTCAGCTACAGTACTGGACTGATGAAATACGATATTTGAAAACGATCGTCACTTTCGCGCCTCTGTAACTGCCTTGTCTTTGAGTTTAAACTATTAGTGTTATACATTTTTGATAGCTCTTTTCAAGCGGCTACACAATGGTAATATTAATATTTAGAAATACGGTAAAGGCAAGGGAGTTACAGGAGCGCGAAATTGACGGTCGTTTTTCAAATATCATATTTCATTGTCCAGTAGTGTATCTATTACCTTAGCTTCCTCAAGAGAAAGAAAGAAAGAAGAAGAAAGAAGAAGAAGAAAAGAAGAAGAAAGAAAGAAGAAAGAAGAAGAAAGAAGAAGAAGAAAGAAGAAGAAAGAAGAAGAAAGAAGAATGAAGTAATTGAGAAGAAAAAGTAGGAGAATGGATTGAACTCTCGATCTCGATCGACTCCCGATTCTTTCCAAACAATTACTCTAACCATTCAACTATCTATTACCTTAGCTTCCTCAAGAGAAAGAAGAAAGAAGAAGAACTACAGCAATCAAGAAAAGAAAATCAAGATTAACTGAAGATTATTTAAGAATACTAGATTACTGTACCTCAAGTTTTAAATATTTAAAGCAAGAAAGAAAGAAAGAAAGAGAAAAGAAAGAAAGAAAGAGAGTTTCTGAAATACAAAAAGCCTTAAGAAATCTTGAAGAAGCTGTCAGACGCTTGCCTCAAAAAGTGTTTCGCTGATCTAGTGCTGATCTAGTGGATATTGTGCTGAGCATCCAAAGAACTCACATGAAATCCCATATCTTGTTGTCCTTTCATTCTTTTATTAACGAAAAATTTGAATTTTTATAGAAAATAGTTTCAAAAATTGCTTACTCTGACTGTTTTTGAAATATTTTCATTTGTTTATTGTTTTTGTTTAACTGAGAAAGTGAACTTTGAGAGAAAGAGGCAAATTTGTGGTCATGAGATTTCGCAAAACTCTAAGCAAAACACTTTTAAAGTACTTAAATAATGAAATAAAATTGTTTTTTAAATGAAATTAAAGTTTAGATTCGATAAAATTTGTAATTTCTAGCTGGAAATGAGAAAAGTTACATAATAAAATCAAATACTGTATTCTCTCTAATAGTGGTGCGCATTACTTTTTTTTTTGAGCCCCTCTGGCCCGCAATACTATTAAAGAGGTTTTATCATTTTCACCAAAGTAAGACAGATATAAGATTTGTTCCAAAGAATTCTTGTAATTCTTTCGGTTCCAGCGCTACTCCTTTTGGCTCCTTTTTCATACAGTTGTGGGCCGGCGAGTTGACAATTTTGTGCCTTGGCAAGCAACAAAAGATATTTTCTCAACGGAGCTCCATCCAGCGGAAGCTGAAAGACTTCCAGCGCCAGCAGCCCAACAAGCTTCCCCTTCAGCCGGAACGTGACTCAACTCAGCTCTGTCAGCCACTTAAGAATTGCTTGATCCCTAGCAATTTGCACAATAATTTTAGATTTTTGCTACTTTTTCGTGTGAAGAATAGATAATAAATGAATAAAAAAGCTCACTTTTGCTTGCTTGAATACCTTTAGAATGTTACATAATACATAAGAGTCAAAAGAGGTTTAGATGAAAAAGAAGCTTCCAGAAATTCAGAATTTTCGACGGTGCACTACTATTTTTTGAACCCCCTCTCGGACCGCGACTACTATTAGGAGAGTGCACCGCTATTAGAGAGCACACTACTATTAAAGAGTGCACTATTATTTTATAGAGAATACGGTATTCGAACTTTTTGGTCTTCTTTTCACTGGGATATTGTTTTTTTTGAGGATACTGTAGAGTTTATTCACTATAGTATTCTTGTAAATTAGAGATAAATGCTCATTTGATGGCTTTTGAGTAAGTAGTCAGCTGAAATTGTGCTTTCTAGCATCAGAATTCATTACTGAAGTGAATCATGGTGAAATGCTGCTTTAGATGACAGTTTAAATGAAAAGCTACAACAAAACGAACACCGCCAATCAATTCCCGATCCTGAAAACCCCTGGTACACATTTATAGCTGAATATCTTTTTGTGCGAGCTACAAAGCAAGAGAAATCCCTAGGTAAAATCGACTAACGAGATGTTCTTTGTGTGGCCGCGTAATCGCTCACGACCTGGCATCCGCCGCTAATACATAGTCGTTCCCTTTTCGACGAGTCAAGGGACGAAAAAGAGATCAACGACGGGGTGTTTTGGGTGTCGCTATTCCCAAAAAAACTCGGGAAACGATTCAAAGCCAAGCGATGTTGATGTGGGAAGGCGACAAGGAGTTTTCCGCGTCATTGAGATGGTTGATTCATGACAAAGCACGGATTCTCAACCGGCTGACAACCGTTTGCAACTGACGTTTCCCTCATTTTCATGGCGTCAATATACCCAAAATTTTACTTTCCTTTGGCTTTTCATTATTTTTTGTGCTGTTTTCAAAACTAATTTTTGTATTTTAGTGATGGACAAAAGGAAGTAATTTTCCGCTGAAGAAAAGGGGATGATTGAAGGAATGAATCAAGACAAAGCACGGATTCTCAACCGGATCAAGCGGGGATCAAGCTGGGGGACAGCTATCGAGAAATTGCCAGGAAAATCGGTCGTTCACACCAATTGATCAATACCTATCTCAACGATTCGATGGTTTTTTTATCTAGATTCTTATGTAGATACATCCGTTTGAATTGTTTTGTTAGTTAAACAACAGCCAAATTTGGATAAAAGCTTTTTCAGGTTATAAGCTCAGGCTTAGGCTTAGGCTCCAATTTGGCTGCTGTTTAACTAGTAAAACAATTCAAACGGATTTATCGACATAAGAGGAAATGAGTTGTAAATGAACACCAAAAACATATTCATTTCTGTTTCATTTTAAGCAAATTGCTTTCAGATAATGGATTTAGATTTAATTTATTGAAATAAAGTTATTTTATAGAAAGAAAATCCTTTAAAGAACTTCTTTGTCAAAGATTTCGCTGAAATTCGTCTTTTTCGGTTGATTTCCTTTCTTTTTGTCGTATTTGACAGATGGATAGTCCTCGATTCGTTCCTGAAAGCTAGATTTGATAAAAATTTCACAATAAATTAGTAATTAGATTTGAAAACTTAATCCTAAGCCTAAGCCTAAGCATGAGATCGCATCCGTTTCCTTTCTTTTTCCGTTCCTATTTTGCAATTATTCGCGTCGCATTTTTTTCGTCTTTCTCTCTTGCCGAAATTATTTTTATTGGCAGAGCTTTTGGCAGCTTCTTTTGGCAGACCTTTTTGGCAGCTTCTTTTGGCAGCTTCTTTTTGGCAGCTTCTTTTTGGCAGCTTCTTTTTGGCAGCTTCTTTTTGGCAGCTTCTTTTTGGCAGCTTCTTTTTGGCAGAGCTTTTTTGGCAGCTTCTTTTTGGCAGAGCCTTTTTAGCAGCTTCTTTTTGGCAGAGCTTTTTTAGCAGCTTCTTTTTGGCAGCTTCTTTTGGCAGCTTCTTTTTGGCAGCTTCTTTTGGCAGCTTCTTTTTGGCAGCTTCTTTTTGGCAGAGCTTCTTTTTGGGGTTCGGGTTTTTGCCTTCGTTCTTGGGGCACTTTGATGTTTCTATTGCTGCTTTTGTAATGGGTATCGTTGCATTTTTGGGTTCTATACTAATAAACAGTAAAATTATAAATTCAATTTACTTTATGCTACCCTTTAAGGTTTTAAATCCTGTTTAGATTGCTGGTTTAACACTGTGGAAAGAACTTACAAACATTTGTGTCGCCATCGACGAAGTATCAATCGGTTCGGTACTCTTATCACGAGTATTAACCTTATGTTGAATGCTGCGTGTTCTTGTTATGTTGTAAGCGTTTTGGGGAAATCCTTTGAACCTTTTTATGCTACTCGGCTATTCTGAAGCAAAGTCATCCCCGATTATAAGATTAAAGCGGGTCGCATCCCAAACTATGGTACTACTTTCAAATTTTTTAAATAAATCAATGCTTTCAGTGCTCAGGAATGATTTCAAAAATAGAATTGTATGGAAAGGAAGCTGAGAATTGTGGAATTATTGTTGAAATCTTTAACTCTAACATACTTTCGGCCGTCTTTTGATCAATTTCCCTCCGATTCTCAGCTCGCTCGGATCGGTGAACGCGATTCGCTCGGCCATCGCGAAACCAGCCTCGCTTCGGACCTTGGATATGCAATGAATTGAGCATAAACAAAGCTAATCCTTAACCTATTCCAAAAATACTTACATTTGGATCCATTTTCCTTTGGCTTTTGTCGTAGAGAATTGAAATTGAAATCAAAAAATGATTGATAAATCTAAGTGAATGACAAAAATTTCTCTTTTTTTTTTGTCATTCTTCAACTAAAGACTCTGCACTTTTGGTAAATAAGAAAAAACGAAAATTTGACGTATCGCTTTGTGATCTTTTTGAAGAAATAGCAAATGTTTATGAGATTTTCAGGTTTTTTTTAGGTATATTGAGTGAGAAAGATTATCGATTATCGAAATTTGGATTCTCTGGATTCATTACAGTCATTCTAAGCATCTATAATTGATATTCTATTTTAAAAAAACTATAAATTCCTGTTCTGAAAATCTTTTAGGCCCGGTTTAATTACCCAAGTCTGACCCCACACATCCATGGCAGTTCGCTGGCTGCAGCTTTTTCTCTACCAGTACCTAAGGTACGTACAAAGTTGGGTAATTAAACGAATTAGAAAGCTTTTTCGGTCGCCTGTACTCCAAGCAGAGTGCCAGAAGCAGCTTTTTCCTACCAGTGACACCTAGGGTAAGCACAAACTTGGGTAATTAAACCGGCTCGGAACCTCTTCCATTACTTTTATCCAGGACATTGTGCCAGATGCAGCTTTTCCCTACCAGTGACACCTAGGGTACGTAGAAACTTGGGTAATTAAACCAACTAGAGAGCTTTTTCGGCCGCCTGTACCCAAGCAGAGTACCAGATGACGATTTTTCCTACCAATGACACTAAACGTTTTCTTGGAACCAAAAATAGTGCTCTTCGTTATAGCGAAGTTCAACTAATCTAAAGAAAATTTGAAAATAAACGAAAAACTTGAAAAATCAAGTGCTTTTTCAAAAGAGCTCAAAAATGAACCAGTAAAATTGGGGGTGGCTACTTTGCGCCAAATTTTTTTGCGCAACTAGATCTTTTGCGCAACTAGGCCTTTTGCGCAACTAGGCCTTTTGCGCAACTAGGCCTTTTGCGCACCTAGGTCTTTTGCGCAACTAGGCCTTTTGCGCACCTAGGTCTTTTGCGCAACTAGGCCTTTTGCGCACCTAGATCTTTTGCGCACCTAGGTCTTTTGCGCACCTAGGTCTTTTGCGCACGTAGATCTTTTGCGCACCTAGGTCTTTTACGCAACTAGGTCTTTTGCGCAACTCACCATAACTTTCTTGATCTTGTAGACCTCAACAATTGTAACATGACACCAAACTTTGTATCGAAAATTCGACTTTTAAACATTTTCCAAAGTAATTTATTGAATCTTTCTTTATGTAGTTGAATAAAATTATAAATTTATCCTTTTTCGTGACTTGATTCCAAAATTCTTTGTGCTTTTCAAAGAAGATTTTGAAACAGATGCGCTAGAAAGAGGGTGTTGATGGTTGATGATTTTGAGCTAAAGTAAACAGGAATCATTCTCTGTAAGTCAAGATTCATCGTGTAAACGCAGCAAATCTGGCGTAATGTCTTTAAAGCTTTTCTAAAAATATTTTATTGCAAAAAAGAGACAATCTCTATAGTAGAATTCTTTGTTTGTTTATTGTTCGTTAGATTTGATTCAGCTTTTTCTTTGTGTTCTGTTGTTGGTTGTCTTCGAGTCCTCGATTCCTTTCTGAAATAAGAAACTTGAAATTGATCTGAAACAGATGATCTAAAACAATTTCTTTAATAACTGTACCTGATTTGGCGCTAGATCTCTCTCGAAATCCCTTTCCGGCTTTCTCCAAAGCGTGCTCTCTTGTCTCGTTTCCCGTTTCATTGAATTTCTGAATAAACTTGGATAGTTATAAAGTCTAGATTTCTTAAGTCTATCTTTATTTTAATAAAAGCTATCGTACTCGATTTTCTTCAGATTTCAGCTTATTTCAACTTATTACAACCCATTACAACTTGTCCCGAGTTTTCTGGATCAGAAATGTTGAAATGGTTAAGGGTGAAGTTAAATTCTAATTAAAGTTCTAGGCTTCAGTTTGAACAATATCTCTAGTTTTTCATTTTAAAACCGACACCAGTCGCTGCTTTGGTGATTCAACTAACTTCAATCCTTTCCATGGTGGGGAGGTGTCCATGATGGAGATTCTTCGCTCTAAAGGTTTCAACTTCTGAAATTGATTTCCATTGCATTAAATGAAAGCAATGATTGAAAATCGATGAAAGAGTGAAAGAATGAAAGAATGATAGAATGAAAGAATGATAGAATTATAGAATAATAGAATAAAAGAAGGATGGAATAAAAGAATGAGGTTTGAGATGCAAATTGCAGAAGTGATTCATTTATTTTTCTGAAATCAGTATCAGCTCAAGCTTACACATTCCAAAAACAGATAGAAGTCAATCTTTAAAAGCTTTACCAAAATCGATTTACGAATGCAGTAATGATTTGCTTTATGTTCTATTTCCTCATGTTGTTTATTTGTCTAAAGCACAAGTTGTTGATGAAAGAAATTGTCACTGAAGAGAAAAATAGAAAGAGATCGCCTTTTTGTCCTTTTCGGATGCACTTTTGTGGTCCAAAAGCCAAAATAATAAAAATAATGACGGCTTTCAAGAAAGAATTGCATAAAAGATTTTGAAATAATGAATCGAATCGATGTAATGTTTAGAGCTGATGGATAAATAGAGACTGTTTGGACTTGGGTGAATTGATTAGATTGAATGAATTAAAGAGAATCAAAGAATCAAGAGACAAAGTACTCAAACCAAACTCATTCTCTTCTCTCATTTTAGCTCCTTTTGGCTTAATACAAGCGTTTAACAAGATCTAAATTTGTATGAAAAATACAATCAATTCATTATTTAAGGCTTTAAGGCAAAAATGGATCCCAAGAATTCGGGCATTGGTGACGGGGAAAGCTCAATCGTTGGATCGTTGAGATAGGTACTGATCCAATTGGTGTGGAAGGCCGTTTTTCCGACAATTTCTCGATAGCTGTCCCCCAGGCTTGATCCCCCGCTTGATCCATTTAGCCCCAATCACGTCCCTTTGCTTTATCCAAACTTGCCTCCTTTGGCCTATCACTAAGATAAAAAGATTTGTTTTCGAAAATAGAACAGAAATAATGAAAAGCACAAGGAAAGTAAAATTTGAGCATAGTTACGGGCAAAAAGCGGAAAGCTCAGCTGCTGATTGTTTCTTTGCCTCTTACTAATGCCCGTAAAGATTCGCCTTCGCCAAGTGTCCGTAAACATCTTATAGAATCGACTACGGTGATTCCGAATTCGTTTTCCATTTTTCCCCTTGAGGCCTGCAACGCGAGATATCTGGGTTACAAGTTTCAGGACCACTCATACTCGATTCCATTTTTCGCAACAGGGCCAACCCAGCGAAGTGGTGGAGGAAAACTGGCGAGGTTTCCATGAGTTCGACGACTACCAAAAGGAGCTTTTTCCAGATACCTATCTATCTGGAGCTTGTGCCAGATGAAGAGTGATTGTACGGCCGCACCAAAGAGCACCTAAGGAGGGACGTGGTGAAAAAGCTGCCGAGATTCCATGAGCCTAGACGACTGCAAAAAGGAGTTTGTTCCAAATGCCTATCTATTTGGAGCTTGTGCCCAGATGAAACCGATTGTGTGGCTGCACAAGAGGAACTGATCATTCCGCAAGGGATTTCTTTGTAGCAAGATGTTCAGATATTCAGCTGTAAATGTGTACCCAAGGGAGTTTTCAGGGTCCGAAATCGATTGGAGCTATCCATTCGATGATCTGAATGTCTACATAGTGAAAATCTTGAATCCAAGAAAAAGAAATTCCCAAAAATTCGTCAACATCAGCCTGTTTTTCGTGATTTTCTAGGGAAATTTCTCAAAAATTTGTTTATTCAAATTTTCTTTCTTTTTCAGCTTTTTATGGTTGAGGATAATATTTTGAAGAAAATTTGCGTATTTAAAGGAGGGGAAAAGCTGGAGGAGTGATCAATCAACATCATCACATCACAAAAGCTTTTCCATTAAAGTTTTCTTTCATAAAAGCTTCATAGATCTTTTGTTGATTCTTTTCTTTCTTTCTTTCTTCTTTTCTTTCTTCTTTTTTTCTTTCTTTTCTTCTTTTTTTACTAAAAAGTAATGTTAAAACCTTAAAATAACCCGGATTTTCGTTTTAATTTTACAAATTAATCAAAAATTCATTCAGTTCCAGATTACTTCTTTTTAAATTCTCAGCGTTTAAAATAAAAAAAAACAATGCCTGGAATCATTGACAAAACCAAGGAGGCTGTGAGACTTATAAAACCTTTGAATATTACATAAATCCAAGCTACAACCTCAGAATTCTATCACTATTCAATTCTATTCTATTCTATTCTATTCTATTCCATTCTATTCTATTCTATTCTATTCTATTCTATTCTATTCTATTCTATTCTATTCTATTCTATTCTATCTCTATTCTATTCTATTCTATTCTATTCAATTCTATTCTATTCTATTCTATTCTATTCTATTCCCATTTACTCTATCTCTATTCTCATTCCATTCTATTCCCCATTCTATCTCTATCTCTATTCCATTCCATTCTATCTCATTCTATCTCTATTCTATCCCATCTATTCTATTCTATTCTATTCTATTCACATTCCTATTCTATTCTATTCCATTCTATTCCATTCTATTCTATTCTATTCTATTCTATTCTATTCTATTCCATTCTGTATTCTATTCTATTCTATTCTATTCTATTCTATTCCCATTCTATTCTTTTGTTTTACTTTAAAATTCTCTGTTTTTGAAAGAATTTAAATGTAAACTTATTGATTGAGTCAAAAAAGAAAAGAAAAGAAATGAAAATGAAATTTTCTAGATACTTTCAAATTCTCAGTGTTCAAAAGAAGAAAAATGCCCGGAATCATTGACAAAACCAAGGAGGCCGTCTCTAACGCTGCTGATGCGGTTAGTTTTGAAAAGATAAGACAAAGCTATTTACTGTATTCAATAAAAAGATTCAAATTTTCGAGAAAACTAAGTTATTATTTGTTGTTTAAAGGTAGCCCTTAAACAAAAACTTTCAAAAAA